ACCAAACTAATGATTGCAATGCGTCATTCAATTGCTAAATATTTAATAATATATATGATATAATTGGGTTCCTTTGAGAACTCGTTTACATCATTCTGAGAATTCAGTGTTTAGTTTATGAATGAGCAAAATTTCTAAAATCGTTTAAATGGGAATTTTTGTTAATTTATTAAAAGTGCAAATATTTTTTCACCAAAGTTGAATATCGTACTAAGGTCTGTCCTTGCTTCTTATATATAGTACACAACACACCACACACACACACATATAATATATATATATATATATATATATTATAAATTGTAGTCATGTTTCAGATATCCATCTAATCAATAAAAAATGTTTTAAAATTATTTTAATCATTGTTCAGAATATTATTATTTTATAGGCCAACATTTTAATAGAAAGTGGTTGATTGAAATAAAGCCCTAGTAACGTTAACAAATGCGAATTCATGTCAAAAATATCTTAGGTCCTTTATGAACCCATAGTGGGTGTGGGCCAATTTCCACCTTCTCCATCGACCCATAGTGGGTTGCCTATGTCTCAATTTTTAAAATAAAATATTTGAAATATCTAAAATGAAATTATTTAGTTGAAACTGGTATTTTGCTTAAGGCAAGTTGCATGGACTTCCCATAAAAAGACTTAATAAATAATTCTGATTTAGTAACTTTTAAAATTGTGACGATAAATTTTGAAATGTTGACATGGCTCATTCTCCCAAATTTGACGGCTAATTATATTAAATATATTTCAACGTAGAAAATACAAGCAATTTTTTATAGAGTAGGACTGGGCACAAAGGTCCAATTTAGCTTGAACTAAATGCCTAATTATAAAAATGTTTTTTTGTACTCTAAAATTTATCATCCTTTTTGCCCCATGGTAAACAGATCCAACCTTTTTTTTAATTTAACGAAATATTAGCTACATTATTTTTCGATGTGAAATACAAAATTTATAGAAACATTTTTTATAAAAATATTTTTGTCCATAACCTTGATCTGGTATTCATAAATATTAAGAAATATTCACCAGCAGAGTTTAAATAAATACTAATTTAAATTATCTCTTATTACGTTGTTTTTTCAACTTATTTTACTATTTCTTATTATTTACATTGTTGCCAAAGTTAAAGTTTAGTTATTCCTATAATATAAAAAAACTTATATCAGTCTTTCATACGTTTTGAGTCCCAATTTGACTCTTCTTCAGTGTAAAACATAATATAAAAAATATAATGGTACCTAAAATGTATAAAACAATCAACAAAAGTTGGTACAATTAGGCCAAACTGATGTTTAACTAGAGGTGCATGGCATCGTGTCTTAAGGCAAATTGCTGGAACTTTCCGTACCACAAACTAAATTATTAGAAAAACTTTGCAAAATTTTGAAGAAATTAGATTTTTGAGAAATTTTGTAATTTGAAAAAAATTGTATCCGCACACACACACACGCACGCACACACACATACACACACACGCATATACATTCATTTTCTCTAAGGTGTTCAGCCAAAATGTTCAGAAACCTCTAAAACGTAAAGATATATAACAATTTTTGTTTTCGAAGTTAAAAATTATAGATAAATAGTTGAAAAATACATAAAAAAATAATACATAATAATAATAATGAGCACAATAAAAAATAAATTATAAAAGTTAGAGTAGCATAAAACGTAGAAAACTTACGTATTTTTAAAAAAAATAATTAATAAATAATTTAAACTAATTTCTGTCTGTTAGAAAGGTTTTACTCATACTTTATAATTATATTATAGAATTTGTACTAAACTTCTTTCACATCAGCATTATCACATATTGCAGTATATAATATATTGACGATTGGATGGATGGCTGAAAATCTTTTTATAATATTATTATATATCTTTCATTATTCGAAATATTTATATATATATATATATATATATATATATATATATATATGTTGGCTCTCGCCCCGCCAAAGATCATATAAAGAGTTTGTTTGTCCTCCCAAATCTTCAGTCCATTTCAAACAATGTGCATCTAGTATTTAAATTTGCGTATTTGAAACTTTAATTTTTTTACAATTGTGTTGTGAAAAGTAGCAGTGCCTAAACGATCAAAGTGAACTAACAAAGTAATAAAATAATTTTATATTAAAAATTAATTTACTAATAATTCAAATCAGATATTAAAAAATACCAAACTTAAAATGTGATCATAATAAATATATAGTTCATTTGCATTGCAATTTAAACGGAACAAAACCAAATATTTAATAAAATGAAGGAGTTTTTAAGGAAGCGTATAAAATCAAAATTTTCTATAAACAAATTTAAAAAAATAACAGTCGTTACCAACAATCGTTTAAAAGCTTTGAAAAATAATATGGTACGATGTGGTGCTTTTTTACAAGTTTTGTGTTCGTATAATAATTTGTTTGTACTTTTTTATTATTCTAATTAATAATTTTACTACTGATTTATTGTGTACAAATTCTATATTTTATGTAGTAGAAAATTTCTTGGAAGTTGAACCTAGTGATCATGATCAAAAAATTTATATTGCCAATTTAAAATCCATATGATCCTTATTTTTTAAATTTTGCTTAATAAGTTACATTGATATGTATTTAATTTTTTTTTAATTATAATCAAGGAGTTTTTACGAAAACGTATGAAATCAAAATGTTTCATAAACAAAATTTATAACAAATAGAATAGCAGTCTTTTAATCTGTCTTCCAAATTTAATCTATTTACAATTTTTGTGTTTGTTTGTACTTGTATCGTTTTGTCACAAAATTGTAATTTGGGGATTACAAAAATAAATAATAATTTTCATTTTACTACTGATTTGTTAGATATAAATCCTATATTCTACATAATGTAAAATTTCTTGGAATTTGGATCTAGTAGAAGGATCATACTCAGAAAAATAATTGTATTAATTTAACTTACTGTTGAATATTTCTTTTCTATTTTTTTAATTTTTGTCTAGGATTTACTACTTTTCCTTGGAAAGTCAAGTGCTAATTAACCGATATATAATATGAGTTTCTTTAAAAATGAAACGTAACAATAGAAAATAATTTCGGTTGCACAATAAGTTGCACAACTGTGTTAATTTTCGTTTCGATTTAATCTGATGTGCTATTATTTTAAGGACGAATTTTTTAGCATCCATTTAAAAAATCATTTAACATTGCATAGATATAGTTTACCTGCGTAAATATTAATATACGCATACACATAGATGTAGTACAATGTTATATTTATTTAAGATGCGTTGCAACATTTTTAAACATCGAATGCTTTAAATAAACCGTATTGATTAGTATTGAAATTGTATTGATTTCTTTGAATTTATTAACTTTCTGGCACAGGTACTTGGTTTTAAAATTTTGATTTTGGTAACCCTATTAAAAATATCTACCTTGGACATTTATATTTGCTTACCACCTTAAAGTACACATATTTTTACTAAAACCAAATTAGTTATAGTAATCGCAAAAAAATTAAAAATGAAATTTTTTATTTTTCTTTACGTTTCAAAGGTTTCTAAACATTTTGGCATACTTAAAAAAATGTGTGTGTGTGTGTGTGCGGATACAAATTTTCGTCAACGATTTTGGGAACACGGATCAACCGGCTTGAATCATTCAAAAAACATTCTATTTAATTTCACAAAATTAAGTTTCGTTAAAATTTTTGCCAAGGCAGGTCTAACGGTTTCAGAGATCGAGTAAATAGAGTAAAAAAAAGCCATTTGGCGGTCAAAAATGCTCATTAGACATATGCACATCAAATTATCATTATATATTTTATAGAGAATTTATTAATGAGTTTAATTTTGTTTAAATTTTTATGGGTGCCGTACCAATGTTTATCCGTTGGAATGCGGCGCTTACGCGCTTCGATGTTTCTTCTCTATAACATCCACGCAAAACGATTGCTTTGAGAAAGTTCAAAATTTTCAGAAAAATTCAAAGTGTAAAAGAAATTTGGAAATATAAAGTAAAAATCAATTTTTTAAAAAATTTCAACATTTTCAAAAAAAATAAGAAAATCTCATTTTTTTCTAAGTTTTAAGAAACATTTTTTTGGTACGGAAAGTTCCAGCAATTTGCCTCAAGGCACGACGCCATTCACCACTAGTTTCTTGCTACGAATTACTATTCTTTTTAAATAGATTGTCATTAAAAGAAAAGAACTTCTTGAAAGAAAATTTTATGTTTATGCCAAAAAATCTGAATTGTTAATTTTGTTAGGACATTCTAAATAGTTGGAGATAAACAGTAGAAAATAACAATGTACTTTTTTAAGTCGATTTTTGATTTTTGGTCAAGGTTTTCTACCAAAGCGGCTAAATTGATCTCAAAAAATTAAAACTTTATTTCGTGGGAAGATCTACCGATTAGTTTTTTTTAGGATTAGGAGATGAATGATCAATAATTCGTCGATGTTCTCGCGAAAAATCCTGAATCCATTTTGAAATTTGGAAACCGTTTGAAAGATATCAATTCAAAACGCCAATTTATCTATGCTTATCTATGGAAATTGCCTTGATTAGTTTATAGTGAAAGTGAAAATTTTATTTTCGAAATAAGCTTTTGGAAATCTTATCTAAGTTGCTTAACCTCAATTTTCATTGATTAAGTTGATTGTTTACTCGTATCGGATAGTTCATGCATCTCGCCTTAAAACAAACCTAGTTTACTAAATAAGTACTAAATCAGTACGTATACTAATGCTAATTAAATGGGGTTGATAGAACTACATACACATATTTCTAGAACAGTTAATTAAATTATAGTGCATTTTATTAAATAAACTTTATAGTAATTGATTCCAAAAAGTAATTTGACTCTGTATTAATACTAGACCATTGGATACTTACTTAATTAAAATATCGAGTTATTTGTTGAAACGCTTGCAGTCATCATCTATATCTACTTTATTTTGTAGATGTCAGGTCTTCCTGGTTTTACTCCAGACATTGGACCATGGTTTGCCAATCGCTCCGTCTTGGTCACTGGAGCGACTGGTTTCATGGGCAAAGTTTTAGTGGAAAAACTACTCAGAAATACTCAAGTTGAAAAAATATATCTGCTGATTCGCGAAAAGCGAGGAAAATCGCCAAAACAGAGATTGCAAGATTACAAAGACCATATGGTAATCGATACACTAAACACAATACATTAAATCTTCAAACAATATAATGAATCAAAAATTTATTACCAATTAAAACTTATTGTTTCTTCTTTGTTTATTCTAGGTTTTCTCCAAATTACGCCAGACTAGACCTGATTGTTTGAAGAAACTCCAGTTATCAGCCGGTGACGTATCTAGACCAGGATTAGGTCTTTCGTTAACAGATAGAAGAGAGTTGACTGAAAATGTGTCAGTTATCTTCCATTGTGCTGCCAATGTCAGATTTGATCAACCTTTGGCCAGTGCAGTTCTTATGAATACCAAGGGAACTGCAAGACTCATGAAATTGGCAGATGAAATTAAGAACTTGCAGGTGGGAAAATTGATTCATTCGTAAATTTTAAAGGTCACAGAAATGTTTTTATGACCAATAAAGATTTCATATTTCTTTGCTTGAAATGTTTGGACAAGTTAACTGTAACTTATTTCAATGCAAGGATTCAACTATTTGTTTGGCATTAAGTTAGACTTAGATCATGAAAGACATGGATCATGGAAGACATGGAGCATGGAAGACATGGATCATGGAAGACATGCATTTTAAATAGTTATACAATTATTTTCTCTTATAAACTTACTTTTATATCTTTAATTTAATATTTAGGCTTTCGTTCATGTTTCTACATCCTATTGTCACTGTGGAGAAGATGTGTTAGAAGAATATTACTATCCAGCTCCCCAAGATCCAATTCGGATAATGCAGTTGACAGACTGGATGGATCCTGAAATATTAGATGTTATAACCCCCAAGTGAGAGAAAAAAAGTATTTAATAATTATTATAATTTATATTAATTTATATTTTCAATAATTTGTATCTAGACTTCTAAAATTGCTGCCAAATACGTACGCCTATACAAAATGCTTAAGTGAAGAACTAGTATCAGGCTATGCTGAGAAATTCCCAATTGCCATAGGAAGACCATCAATAGGTAATATAATATATAATTAAATGGATTATTGGCTCTTACACTTTTTTGTTATAATTTTGAAAATCTTATCTATTTTAGTGGTGGCATCTTGGAAAGAGCCAATTCCTGGTTGGATTGAAAATTTGAACGGTCCTACTGGTTTATTGGTTGGAGCTGGAAAAGGTTTGACCATTATATACATTTGATATAAAATTATAGGTATATTTACACTACTTTTACCTGTTTTATTAAGGTATTATACGATCAATGCACTGCAATGAAAATTATTTAGCAGACTTGATGCCATGTGATATTTCCATAAACGCCCTGATAGCATTAGCTTGGAAAGTTGGAACTACAAAGTAAATATGATGCATTTATATATGCAATTGAATTATAATACATAGTAAATAAAATTTATAAATATTTTGCAGACCAAAGAAAGCTTTTTATTGTAACATTACTGAATCAGGTGAAAATCCAATAACTTGGGGCGAAGCTTTGGCAGCAGGTATACCTACATACGTATCATATTTCTTTAAAATCTATATTTCTGTCATATATTTACACTGTTTTTCTTTTAAACAGGAAGAAAATATGTATATCAAAACCCTTTCAGTATGATGTTATGGTTTCCTGATGGAAGTATCAAGACATCAGCTTTTTTCCATGCACTGTGTGTGGTTTTCTTTCATTTCTTACCAGCCTACCTAATTGATGGTCTTATGCTAATACTGAGGAAAAAAACATTGTAAGTGATTACTAATTCATAATATGCGCGATTATAATTAGTTTATATTTTTATTTTTAGCTTTTTGTTTTTTTTTTAATTTCGTGTCAATTTTTTTGCAGCTTGGTCAATGTCCAAAAACGCATTCAGGGTGGTCTTAAAGTTCTTCAGTATTATACCACGAAAGAATGGGTTTTCCGAAATGATAACTTAAAGTTATTAGCAAATGAAATGTCTGATCGAGACAAGCAAATATTTTACATGGATACCAAACAAATCAATTGGGATGATTATTTTAGGAATTACATATTAGGAACGAGGCAATTCTGTCTAAAGGAAGATCCTGCAACAATACCACAAGCTAGAAAACTCCTTAAAAGGTTAGTAATAGACAACCAAACAATCGTATAACCAGGACGTACTACTGAGTCATCCTTAGCAATTTTAAGCAATTAGCAAAAAGTTTCTTAGCACTTGGTTTTGCCTAGTTATTACAAAAGTCATCAATGCATAGTTTTGTATTATTATGTTGAATTGCTATTGGAAGTTGCTAACGATGAAACTATTATGTCTTGTGTTTGCGATTTTTTCTGAATTTGCTTGAGACCAAAATTGGAAAAGTACTGTGTGTTTGTAATTACCAGGGTTTGTCGGTTTTCAAAAAGCGGTTTTAAAAACTGGTTTTTTGACGAAAATTATGGAATTCGAAAACCGTTTTTTTAGTAGAAAAGTCGGTTTTCACTGTATAAATGGAAAATGACAAATATAGCCAAATATAAACGATAGTAGCAAGCGTTTTGATTTTTGGAATCATATTGGTTCAATAGCATTTAGAATCTTATCAGTCTACTTCGGTTCCCAGAAAGGTTTTGTGTTATTTTTTGTCTATTAATGTATTATTATTAAATTAATGTATATATTATATAATGTATATATTAATTTAGATTTTTATCCAGTGTATATATAAATTTAAATCAGTGTGACTTCTTCTTGAAGAAGTAACTCCCTTTACTCAGTCTTATAAAAATGAGTTTTTAGCTCTAAAAGTCACAAATAAAAGATCAAAAAACTCTTTTAAAAAAGCTTTTTCTAAAGTTCGGTCGCAAGTAAGAGAGTATTTTCTATTTTGGAAAATATTGTGAGTAAACAAAGGACACAAATCGATAGACGTTCTCAATTTTTTAAAGTCATATTACGCCTGACTGCACAGCAACCACATAGCATGTTGACAGTTTTTAGTTCCATTTTATATGAAAAACGCAGCGTAACATAACCTTGTCATGGCATTGGTCCATTTTACGGCAAAATTTCCTCGTATATTGACCTTCGTGTGAAATAACTCTTCAGAGTTGCTGGCAACCAGGAGGAGTTCTTTTTCCTATCCAAATTAATATTTCAACCATCTCCAATTCGTTCTTATTTCCAACCTAACAAGATGGCACCAGCGTTATACTTTCACGTGTGTGAAATTTCTCTCGATATCTTTTCTTCGTAATTTCTATAAAAATAAAAATATTTCATAACTACTACCGAAACTGATGTAACCGACTCAGTCGAGTGAAAGTTTAAACATCATATTATGTGTTTGAATAGTCAACGTTTGCGTGTGCATATGCTGCGTCGTTACGTGGACGAATACATCGAATTCCTCATGGCATATTTCAGTAAGTATTTTGATAATAGTAATAAACACATGGTGAATATTAGCATACATTATTTAAATGACATGGTGAGGTATATAGTCATTTTTACACCTGTCCTGAAATGGTCAACAAGTAAAACTGTATGATTAAGAAAAATGACTTAAAATACGAAATATTCTGGTCATTGTCATCATGACGTATTGACGTATGTAACATCAATTTCTTTTTTTATTCTTGCACTGGCAGTGTTGTGGCGTAGTTCTATGGCAAGTTGGTTAAAATGATCCTCGAGGTGGCTTTTGTAATTGTCTGAATGTGTTCGTATTTCGTAAATAGTATGCATTATTTAAATGAACATGTTAAGGTTTTTTTGATTATATAGTAATTTTCAGTACCGTTTTTACACCAGTACTGAAATGAATATCAAGTAAAACTGTAGGATTAAAAAAAATGACTTCAAAAATTCAAAATTTTCTGACCATTGTAAGAGATTTTGAAAATTGACGTATGTTGACGTATTGACGTATGCAACATCAATTTCTTATTTATTCTTGCTTTGGCAGTGTTGTGGCGTAGTTTATGCCAAGTAGGTTAGGATGCTCCTCGGGCCGACTTTTGTACTTGCCTGAATGTGTTCGTATTTTATCGTTTATTGTGTTTATGTCAGCGTCTTTATTCATTAACCAAAACGGTACATACTTTAGAGCATTCAAATTTTTTTTTACTAATTTATTTTGGCATCTTTGAATTTTTCCCCCACACTATTAGACATAAGAGCTAATAAAAAAACCTCCACACTATTAGACATAAGAGCTAATAAAAATATCCACACATAGGAGAAAGATAACCGATGGGTTGCTTCTCATCTTCTCACCGTAGATCATAAGTCATACACACAAACAGCTCATAGAACAATAATAAAAAAAAGAGTTCTGATTGCTGTATATAAAAATAAAAAAATAAAAAAATCTTTGAATTTTTACCACGTTTGATTTGGATGTTGATCCCCATAGTTGTATTCCGTATGTCCATATTGGCCTAATGTCTTGGTGATCATTTTTCTTATTTCTGACATAAACATATAGCCAGGAACAAGTAGGTGAAGCGGGTTTAATTGAGTTTAATAATTTAATATGATTTTTTTATTTGATTAAATATGCGTAAATATTTTTCTAGTAGGTGCGTCGTTAATATCTTAAAATATTTTTTTTAATCAAATAACAACCAAAATGTAAACATTGTATAACTAATAAGAATCTATCTATTTTTGAACTGAAAAAAATTTGAGTTCGTAAATATGGCTTGAGAAAAATAAATATTGAATATAAGAATTTTTTTCAAAATCTGGAACAATAAACAGAATCCGGTACAAATATTGCTTCTTCAAATATCCGGATGCAAATCTGAGACCATTCCGCAAATCCGGTCACCTTGACAATGTGATCTAAGAAGCATTCGTGAATAAATTCGAAATGCTTAGATTGATATTGAAATGATATTGAAGCATCAATTAATTCATTCATAATTCAGTCATTTTTGACCAGTTTGCAATAATTCAGACACCATATTCTCTGTGATTAATCGAATGCTATATAACAACCTAATTTTGCAAAATTTATTTATTTTAAAACTTTACGAATATTTTTTGTTAAATTATATCGAATGTTTTATTTACCTATCATTTGCCTTAACGGAAATTTATTTTATCGTCAGCTCTGAAATATGGACAATCATTGTTTTGATGCCGTCTGCTCGTTTATAGGTTTCATGTTACGCAATAATTTCTTCGAAAGTGTTGATAGAAATTATAGGTCAAGCATAAAATGCAGACTGTTTATTTTTTATATGTATGTATATATATGTATATATAAATGTATATATTAGGGTGGTCCTTAAAATGGTCATTTTCGAATTTCCTTGCTCTCAGGGGCTCAAATGGTTCCAAATAGATAAAAAACAATTCTCTGAAAGTTTTAGCTCTTAATATAAACGTTTAGATAGAGCGCAATTCAATCAAAGTTTTGTAAGTATTTTTTCATTGCAATGTGTTTGTTGTTTTATGAAGATGACATTCACAAATTGTTTTGCTGCTAACAGGAGGCTATTAGAGGGCATACCAAAAGTTGTTCTTTCTAGTTGTGATATATTTTTAACATACCTAATTAATATTTTTGACTAAATTATTTCTGCAATGACCTCTAAAATCTATTTTCATTTGATATCATATTTGAAATCTATAATCTTAATATATTAATAATTTCACTACTGCTTGATATGAAGCTGACCAGGATAAGTATTGAATCAGTGGTTGCTTGAATGAGCTCTTACCATGGTCAGTTCAGAGTAAATTAATAAAGCCCTATTTACTTAAACTTCCTAAGTTGTAAGTCGTCTAGTTGTATTTGTAGTTACCAGATTCTTGGAAAGTTAATTTGAGTGATTTTCTAGTTACTTTTCTGCTTAATTGCAAATCCTCTGATATTTTTCGGATAAAATAGAAATGTTATAAAGAAATAGGTAATGCTTTGTTACGGGTCTATCTTCGTATTATTTGGTAGTAACGAACTGACAATCAACGATGTATTTGCTGAGCTATAAGGCGTTTTACACATAAAACCTAACCTACAAATTCTGATGCTTCATTGATAACACATATATGAAGTTAGGTTTTGTGTGTAAACGCAAAAGAGATTGCACAGCAAATACATAGCTTTTTGACAGTTTTTTTTTTACTAACAACTAATAAGAAGATAGACCCGTTACCATAGCATTACCATAACATTTCCATTTTATTCGAGAATTGGCCTCTTTCCTCTTTGTCTTGGTGCATTAGCCAATTTAAAATATATTTGTGTGCCACTAATATTTGCTAGAGTATTTTGTTTTAACATTTTTGCATAATATTAATATAATGTAATTCGCTGTTCCAAAGCAATTTTGTTTGCGTTGGGCGTTTATTAACGTTGGGCGTTTATTAACCACGTGATCGAGAATTTTTTTAAGGATTTTTGGACCTCCTCTTTTCCTTGGTAATACATACATAATATACAATATTCAAAATTAAATAAAATTACAAATGTTGAATGAATTATATCATTTGTAACATATCTTGCATAATTTTTACATTTGTACTTACAAATTGTTTTTTTATTCTTTGAACATCGTTTATTATCATAAATTATAAGCTCGAAGATCACATCTCCCGAAAATGGAATTGTGCGTACGTGCAAATTTTCAGGTTTTGCAAAAGTTCGTACGTTGATTCACGCACGTATCACCGAACTGAATTTCTCCTGAAAATGTCAATCATTTAATTAAAATTGTTTGGAAACCATGTGATCAAATAACGTCGAGAAAATTGATTATTGAATAATATGTGATGGCTTTGGACCATATAAAATATATAGTAGTAAAAGACTTTCGGAAATCTGTTTTTGTCTATAAACACCATGACCTAGAAATTTTAATCACTTATTTTTGGAACATGGAATGGACAGTCTTAAATGATTTTTAAACGTAATGGTATACCATCATATTTCTTGTCTTTTTACCTCTCTTATTATCATCTCATCTAATCATCTAATTGTAAGTGAGTGTAACTCTTATTATCATTTTATTCAATTATGTAAAATATAATTATTATTATATGATTATGTGAATAATTTCGAATCATTGAAAATACTAAATGTTGAATTTGGTATCAAACATCAATTTTACGTTTCATCAATCTAAACATGAAATATTGTGAAAGTTGGTGTAAGTGGCATTTTGCCTTAAGACAAGCACAACACACCATTCCAAACTTTGATGAATTTTCATATATTTTTTTTTATTATATTTTTTAACAGCAATCAGAACCTTACGTCCTATGAGCTGTTGGGCTGAAACTTTTCCTCACTTCGTATTTCTGGATGGTAACCCAATGGTTAATCCATCCATATTTAATGATTTTTGTTATTAGAATTAATCTAATAGGGCTGACTTTTTATTGGTGCAGCAATTCCGGGCAAGGGCTATTTTCACTTGGAAACATATTGCAACCTATATTTCCAAGTGAAAATCGTTGTCACTGCTGCCTGACAACAGGCTGCTCGAAGTGGGTATCGAACCCGGGACCTCTGAAACAAGTCCCGTCGCTCTTAACCGCTTACCTACGGGCGAGCCCAATTTTCGTAACTGAACCACTTTTTGCAGGCCAAATGTTTTGGGATGTTTGTTTAAGACTAGAATCTCTGACACTATGCAAAGGTTCAATAATATCGTGATTGATCGTTTTATCAATATAAATTTACAAAGAAGAAACGGACCAGTCGATCTTTACCAAAAACTAATCATCACTATTCCAAACTGATATCTTTCGAAGCTTTAGAATTTTCACAATCGGTTGTTGAAAATTTTGCTGCTGTTATTTATAAAAAACTAGTTTTATTAATTTGCTTTTAAATTCAACAAAAGGTCAAATTTTTGATCGTATGCGAACATACTCATACAAACACATATAGTTTAACCAATTTGGTGTCAAGCGATCAGACTGACTTGAAACACTGCAAGAATATACAATAAGCAAATCTGATTTGCTATTTCTGGTGGAAGGTAATAATCAGTTTTTTGCAAATATTTTTGAATCTGGTACTGATTTATGTATATATTTGGTGCTTATTGAATAATAACATAAAATATATAATATGCATTTATCGATGCATAATAATAAACTAGTGGTGGATTTCTATTTCTGTACTTTTTGCTCCGTATCTCCGTAACGGCTGGAGCTGCCTTTGCCAAAAACTAATCATCACTACTCCCTATCAATAGGAATCGATTGCTTTTTGAACTTTTCAAATCGGTTCATCCATACGCCCGAAAACGTCGACGAAAAATTGTTTCCACACAAACACACACACATTCATTTTTTCTGAGGTATGCCAAAATATTCAGGAACCTCTGAAACGTGAAGATAAGCAAAAATATTCACTTTCGATTTTCGGCCCATTACTATAACTTACCCTACGGAAAAGTTAATAATCGATAATTAAATAGTATCTGATGAAAATTTTGCTACAAGCTGATACCTAATAGCCAAAAAATATATAAAGTGATTGATGATCGTGTTTGTAATTATTGTGCCAAAGCTATCATCCGTCAACTACATGATTTTGTTTTAACTCTTCTACAACATAAGGGTTATTCCGGTATTTACCTAAACCAATAGTATTCAAGTTATTAAAACTTGACCTAAAAATAATATTATTCACTCGGAGGCCCTGATATTACAAATTTTTAGTTCTTGATGATCATGAACAAAACATTAGAACATTGCACACCGCAAATGATACCTAGACAGATCCAATGTCGTTCGATCCGGTTGAATTATATAATATTGATACTATCTATTTATTGGATAGCCATGTATTAATGTGTGCCACATTTTATTAAAGAATATGAGTTTTGTTCTTGTTTGTAACTATTTGTGTTTGTGTACTTCCAAGGGGCTCACCCGTAGGTAAGCGGTTAAGAGCGACGGGACTTGTTCAGAGGTCCCGGGTTCGATACCCACTTCGAGCAGCCTGTTGTCAGGCAACATTGACAACGATTTTCACTTGGAAATATAGATAGCAATATGTTTCCAAGTGAAAATAGCCCTCACCCGGCATGTTGCAACCATACTTGCCCTATTACAGAGATTGTAATAAAAATTTATCATACAGAGATGTGACAACTGTTTGAGTTGCCATCTGTAATAAAACAAACGTAGTTGTAAGATCTTACTCACAACAGCTCATAGAACCCATTAGTTCTGATTGCTGTTCAAATAAAATAAAAAAAAAAAATGTGTTTATGTACTTCCCTAAGCAAGAAAATAAATTTGTGATATTTTTATAGGTACGTATCGAAAGACAACAACCTTCTGTTGTTGTCTAAAGCTAATTAAAAATGGTGTTCTGAGATGTGATTGCGATTTTTTTTTTGTTATTATTCCGAAGCCAACTTATTCTTATAACATTATCATGAGCATCTGCATTGATGGATTAGAATGCTTGGATACATACTTCGGACAGCCTTGTTTCAAGCAGCAGTGACATCGGTTTGGAAAACATAGATGGCAATATGATTACAAATAAAAATAGCCCTTACTTGGCATTGTTAAGCCCAATAAGTAGTCGTTAGTATAACAGAAATTGTAATATTTTAAGAATCAGCGCAAAAGTTGATTTAGGTTCTGATTGCTGTTAAAAATTAAAAACAAAATGTCATATAATATTGTTAGATTATATTATCGTCATTGATACTAGTCTTTTCTGTTACTAAGCATGTTTCTGCATTTTTTCGATATCTGGCTCATAGTAAAATTAACATATTTTAACTTTCCATAGAGTAAAGTTATAGTAATCGCAAAAAAATAAAAGTGAAAATTTTTAAATATCTTTACGTTTTATAGGTTTCTGAATATTTTGGCATACCTTAAAAAAATTGATGTATGTGTGTGTGTGCGTGCGGATACAAATTTTTGTCGACGCATTGGGAACACAGATTCGGGTAATTCAAAGATCATTCGATTCGTATAGATAAGGAGACGTCCGATTAGTTTTTGGCAAAGGCAGATCTAGCCGTTTCGAAGATCAGGGCAAAATAGCAAAAATGGTTGAGTTTTTGAGAGAACGAAGCGTCCGATTTGTATAATTCAAAAAAACATTTTATATGTATTGACAAAATAAAGTACATTTACATTTTTGTGAAGGCAGGTCTAGTGGTTTTAGAGATTGAATGAAAAAGTAAAAGAAAAAATGCCATTTGGTGGTCAGAAATGCTCATCAAACACATGCATATCAAATTATGTAAAACTGCGATGCGGCGCTTACGCGCTTTGATATTTTTTTTTCAAAAACAGTCACGCTGCACGATTGCTTTGAAAAAAGTTCAAAATTTTGAGAAAAATTCGAAGTATAAAGAAAACTTCGAGATAAAAAAAAAATTGGAATATACAAATTCAAATTTTTAAAAAAAGTCAATTTTTTCAAAAATCTTATGTCTTTCAGTTTTCAAAAAAAATTGTTTGTTGAAAGTTTTTTAAAAAAAAATTTTGGTACGAAAAGTTCCAGTAATTTGCCTTAAGGCACGATGCCATGTGCCACTATATAAAGGCTTGTCTATAATAGATATGTACATCTAACTGTATTGGCTTGGCTATATATGTTGCAGCAATACCACGAAAGACGATTTTTATTTGACATCTATCACCTCAAATAAAAATTTGCTATCATACTGCCTGATATAAACAAACCCCAGGATGGGATTTTATCCAGACTAGCAGTTTATGCTAGCCAGTTCTTTAACGTTTATCCCACCACGGGCTAATAAATCAGCAACAATATTTTAATAATTAAAATATTATTATTAATATTTTATCTCTTTCAGGCTATATTATTTAGATGTCCTGAAGAATTGGGCTTTGGTTATTGACTGATTTGGATGTTATGGCAATTTTGCGAAATATTTTTGCTAGACCATTCCGCTAGTCAAAAAATTGCCACACTGACGCTAGGGTGGAGTAATATGCAGGATTGCCATGTATAATTATTATTTTTTTAAATTTTATTTATATTCTATTGATTTTATACCGTATTGATATTTTGGTTGATAATCAAACTTTAAATGAATTATCGTATATAAATAGTATAATTCAATATGTAGTACAGATAGATAGCGATTTTTTAAAAAATTCTTCAAACTTGGGTCGCTAGTGAACAAATCAGGTTCTGGTTGAACAATCAGGTTCTACTTATGACCTTCTACACTTTTATCGAAATTTAAACTGATCTTGAATACCTAGTTTTTATAGGGGCCTGATTTATAAACGTGAATATATCTTTTTAACTAAATATAGTGTGAGTCTCTATTATACTCCAAAAAATTTTAAAATATTTTGTCTAGAATAAATTATAATGTTCTTGGTTATTCCACAAGAAAGTTAGGCATAAAAGAAATATATCTCGTTTTCAAAATGGCTAGATGTATATTCTATAAGTTTTAAGATAGTAGTATTTTATATTATGAATAATTTAGTTAATAGATTACCATTTTAACTTATACTTTCTTCTGTATTTTCTTTCTGTATTACTACAATTACTATTATAATTTTTTTAAAATATATTTGTTTTTTCTTTCTTCTTCATCATTTCATCATTTTGTCTTCATTCTAATCATTTTAATTTTATAGTATTTTACTTCTAACTATTTAACTTCAATTTTGTTTAACTATTTAATTTCAATCTAACTTCTTTGTATATTTTTTGATTTTATATTTTTTTTATTTCACATCAATTAAGTACATAGCCAAATCGGGTGGTAAAGTTCTCAAATATTTAAGGATTTTTTTACAGTTCTGGTTAACTATATAAGCTTAGAAACTTATTGTTAAGGATTATTTAAAGTTTATAGTAAAAAAATTTTTATTAATTTTTTTTTATGTAATCCAAGATCAGATATTATCCACAATAAAATTTTCAAAATGTGGAGAAGGTAACAAATGTAGAAACTATAAAAATGGCCAAAATATCATTAATTTTTTTCTCATCTGAAATAACTAATTGCATTTGCAATTTTTCATATTATATATCAATTTTATAAATTTCAGAAGAATTAATTATTAAACTTGAATTATGAATTAATACATAAATTAGAGAGTATACATCTCTGAAAAAGGAAATAAATAGAAACCTACAAATTTATAAGACGTCAAATTAACAAAACATAGATTTTTTTCTATTTATACTGGTTAATCTTGCACATATGTATGTATATATATATATTATATATATATATATTATATATATATATATATATATCTATAATTAATGAAAAGTTTTCGCAATTACCTAAACATTCATATCGACCGGTTCTAAAAGCAATATAATAATGGACGCAATTATATTAGAAATTTTAATGTGCACTTCTGTTACTTCTTATATCGTTTGTGTTTTTATAATATCTTGTATTTACAACCCATAACAATGTACATATTATTAAACTTTCAAATGTTCAAAATGAGCGAGAGCTAGTGGAATTTTTTAAAATCATACCAAAAATCATTTGAGAGGTAATTGAATTATTTATTGAGCGTACTGATTTGATATGTGTGAATGTATGTGTGTGTGCGTGTGTTTGTGTGTGTGCGGATACAAATTTTCGTCGACGATTTCGAGAACACAAATTAACCGATTTGAATGATTCAAATAGCATTCGAATTCTATCATAAGGCACATGCTGACTAGTTTTTGGCCAAGATAGGTCCACCAATTTCGAAAGTACGGGGTTGACAAAATAAAGAACTTTTAAATATTTGGAAAAGCAGTCCAGCGGTTTCGGTAATCAAGAAAAAAAGTGAAGAGTACCATTTGGTGGTGAAAAATAAGCATTATACATATGCACATCAAATGATCACATATTTTATAGTGATTTTTTCTAATAACAATTTTTGTTTACATGTCTATGGGTTTCCGTACTAATGCTTAACTTCCTGTAGAGCAAGTTATAGTAATCGCAAAAAAATCGAAAATAATTTTTTTTATATATCTTTACGTTTCAAAGCTTTCTGAACATTTTGGCATACCTTAGAAAAAAATGGATGTATGTGTGTGTTGTATGTATATGTGTGTGTGCGGATACAAATTTTCGTCGACGATTTCGGGACACGGATGAAGCGATTTGATTAATTCAAAAAACATTCGATTTGAATTGATAAGGAGACGTGCTGATTAGTTTTGTGCGAAGACAGGTCTAGTCGTTCCGAAGATATGCGGCAAAAAGTGCCAAAACGGTAACTCCGTTTTTAAGAGAACGGAGCGTCCTATTTGAATAATTCAAAAAACATATTACTTTAATTAACAAGATGAAGAACTGATCAAATTTTCATGAAGGCAGGTTTAGCAGTTTCGGATATCTAGTAAAAAAAGTAAAAAAAAAATGCCATTTGGCGGGTCAAAAATGATCATTAGACATATGCCCTCAAATTATCAGATATTTTATAGAGATTTTAACAATATGTATAAATTTGTGTTATATTTTTATGGGTTCCGTACCAATGTTTATTCGTTAGACGGCGACGCGGTGCTTACGCGCTTCGATATTTCGTCTCTATGCAGTTGAAGCAGTACGATTGCTTTGAAAAAAAGTTCAGAATTTTCAAAATATTTCAAAATATTTTTTTTTCCAAAAAAATTTTTAAAAAAGTAAATTTTTTTAAAAATTTATAGTTTCTCAAAAATCTAATTTTTTCAGAGTAAATTTTTTTCAAAAATGTTAATCTTTAAAAAAATTTTTTTGGTACGGCAAGTTCCAGCAATTTGCCTTAAGGCACGATTCCATGGGCCCCTAGTTATCCGTTAGATTGCGACGCGGCGCCTATGCGCTTATGCGCTTCGACATTTCGTCTCTATGCAGATAAACATTTTTTTCAAAAAGTTTTTTTTTTTCTAAAAAAGTAATCGAATGTTTTTTGAATAATTGAAATCGGTTGAACCGTGTTACCGAAATCGTCGACGAAAATTTGTATCCGCACACACAAACACACACATACATCCATTTTTTTTCTATGGTATGCCAACATGGTTCATAAGGTTTTGAAACGTAAAGATATATAAAAAAATTTATTTTCGTTTTTTTAGCGATTACTATAACTTACCCTACGCCCTACGGGAAGTTATTGTCAACCTCGACGTGTTGCGGTCATAGACCTTATTCTACTTATAAGGTCTATGGTTGCGGCCCCCTGGCCATAGTGTTGCAGCACTGTGGCATTATCCGAAACACGCTGCAGAACACCGAAAGGCCGATCCTTGCTCCTCGTCAACCATGGTTGAGCCAGAATGCATTCGGACTCGGTCTGATTGTATCTTCACTTTTGACAAATGCCAGGGGCAGTATTGCTCCGCAACGGCCGGCTACAAATAACCATATGTAAACAACTAATCTGACTATTAGTAAGGTTGATTAAATCCAAAAAGTCATCAGGAATGATGATGGCAGGTGGTCGGAAACTCCGTTTCACAAATGATGCAAGAAGTCGAACTTACTTGTTTAATATGTATAAAGATTGTGGTCGATGATGACTAAATTAATATATGATTAAATTTTTGGGGAGGCAGTTTTTAGCGGTTCGGAGATCTAGATAGATCAGATATTTTTATGGAGACATAGAGACTTAATAATGGTTATCAATTTTGTTTACATTTCTATGGGTTCCGCACGAAGATCTATAATTTTTGGAGCTTTTCA